TTTTTTTTTTTTTTAATGTTTAAGAATCTAATTCTGGGCCTGGGGTTATAGTTCCGTGGTACAGCACTTGCCTACCATGCATGAGGCCCCAGGTTTGATCCCAGCACTATGGAGGGGAAAACAAAGAAAGAAAGAAAAGAATCTCATTCTGAAAAACTATATACTATTGGCTGCCAAGCTGTGCATCAGTCCACTGGTCCCTGACAAGACGTAGCAGCAGAGTGGTAGAGCTGTAGAGCAGGCCTAAGCACAGGTAGACAGCATGGGGTTGGGCACAAGGAACCAACCACATGGTGGGCCTGAGGTACAGACCAACACCCCAGGTGAGCCAATGATTACTGACCTGTCATCCCACCAGAGCTCAGCACTGCCCAGTGGACACCAGCTCCACACAGCACTGCAGCTCCAGACCCTACCCCCACCCCCACTGAGCATGTGTGACTTGTGAGAAAATAGAAGTCAACCCTGAATGGGATTCAGGGCTAACCAATATCATTAGTACTTTTCCAAACTCTTAAGTAGCATAATTTTGAATCAATAGTACTTTTCCAAACCCCGATTAGTATGAATTTGGACCAAAAGTGTTGACCCAAGTGCTATATAAACCCCTAGACTAGTACACTTAGGTGGCAACTCTCTTTCGTCCCTTCTCAACTTGTGGGAGTTGTTCCTATTTCTATTCTTCAATAAATCCTACATGTCTAAATCTTACACTCATTCATCCTGGCCTATATGGATTTCATTCTTCCATTCATAAGACAAGAATCCAGAAAGAAGAAACTGATGGTGAGCTGCTGGGGTCTGCTACAACACTGGAAGGCATGGCCATTAAGAGCTGCAACACTTTTCCACTGCAGAGGCCTGTAGCTTGTGCAGACCTCACCTTCCAGAGAAAGTGGAGAAACTTGGGTATCAATATGGTAGTCTAATTTTTCACATTTCTGCTCATCAGATCCTACCTAATAAATATCTATACTTACCAACATAACTCATTCACTTAATGGTTTGTCCAAGTCTTGGACATATCAAAGAAATATTATACCCAGACACTGTCTCCCAGCAAAAGAGGCGGATTTTGGAGAATGTACTGTATTCTTTTTTTTTTTTCACACACATAGACACTTTATTAGTTTCTTCTACAAGAGACAATTAACATCAAACTTTTAACAGAAATGTCAGGTCATTGGAGAGGCCAAACAGATTCCAGGAAGAAAGATGAAAATTAAATACTTAAATCCCCAAAGTATTCACATGAAAAGTCTGAGCTTCCCCAACCATCTAAACAGCCTTATTCAACACCCTCAGAAGTCTGAGATCTTGAAGCAGCTGAACTCCAGTTAAAGCTGCAAGGTTCACAAAATCATTAAGGAAGCCAGAATGAGACAATGCAGTTAAGAAATCCCAGCAGTTAATCTCAATCTGTCTTCTCCCAATTTACAATAAACCCTCATTTACATGATGTGGGATGTAGAAAGCTATACTGGAGCAAGCTGGGTCTTCTGCTGAATTTGTCATGAAATACTAAGGGAAACAAGGGGTAGGGTTGATTTTATTTTTTAAAAAGCCTCAAGTTATTCTATTATAAAGGAACATGACTGAATAGGTAGGAAACAGATTCCCCATTATGAGTTCTCCTGATGGCTTCCGCAAGGATCATAGAGATGTCAATCACCTGTATTTTAGAGCAATGCTTCATCTTGTCCTCCTGAGGTATGGTATTGGTGACCACTACTGCTTCAAAACATGCATTATTGATTCGAGAAATGGCTGGGCCAGAAAAGATTCCATGAGTCAAGATAGCATAAACTCTGGTCGCTCCAGCTGAGAGAAGTTTGTCAGCGGCATGACAAATTGTGCCACATGTGTCAGCCATGTCATCCACAAGGATAGCGACTCGATCCTTCACATCTCCCACTAGCACCATGCGGTCCACTTCATTAGCCTTCTTCCGTTCTTTGTGAATCAAGGCAAAGTCCACATTCAACCGGTCTGCAATGGAGGTCACTCTCTTGGCTCCACCAGCATCAGGTGACACAATAGTGCAGTTCCTCCACTCAGATATATTCTCCCTAATCCACTTCAGGACAGCTGGCTCTGCATACAAATTGTCCACTGGGATATCAAAAAAGCCCTGAATTTGAGAAGCATGTAGATCCATGGTGATAATATGATCTGCACCAGCTACAGACAGCATATTTGCAACAAGCTTAGCTGAGATTGGTGCTCGGCTCTTATCCTTCTTATCCTGCCGGGCATAAGGGAAACATGGGATGACTGCAGTAACCCGGCTGGCTGAAGCAATCTTGCAGGCATTAATCATGATCAAAAGCTCCATTAGATTGTCGTTGATTTCACCACAACCACTTTGAACGATGTAGACATCTTCTCCATGTACACTTTCACCAATTTCCACACAGGTCTCCTGGTTGCTGAATTTCTTAGTCACCACCTTGCCTAGCTCCAGGCCCAGGCGGTCAGCAATTTTCTGGGATAGGTCCTGATGAGAGCTGCCGCTGAAGATTTTGATATTCGGCATCTTGAACAATTATCCTAGGCGCTCGTCGCTCAACGATCACTGCTGCTGCGGAGACCAGAACCGAAGTCTGCCCAAATACTTAATACCGACCGCTTTGCGCTGCTACTCCGCCATCTTACATTCCCGCCCGGCGCGCGGCTCTAAATTACCCAGAGCTGGGGAGGCGGGATCAGCGGGGGAAGTCCACACCCACTCGTTTCCGTTTGGCGGAGCGGGATCGAGCGGCAGAGACCTCGCTGCGCTGCGGCTACACTTCTCTTCTATTATATTCTATTATATTGGCTGGAGGGCAAAAACCGGGGTGAGGCTAATAGCCCCACCCCTTGGTAGCTTTGCGGTTGAGAATATACTATATTAAAAAGCAGGGAACTTTCCTGTTATGCCTTAAAGCATTCCAATTTAAAAAGATAAGAGTAAGATATATTTTTAATGGAAAAAACACCTACTTTTCTCTATATGATCCAGCCCTACTCTGAGAACTACGGAATCTATTTCTATGAATGAGGATATACCTGATAACTGGATTGCACTAGCAACTTATTAAGACAGAAAACTGGGGCCCAGCCAGGCATGGTGGCACAAACCTAATAATCCCAGCTACTCAGGAGACTGAGGCAGGAGGACCCCAAGATTGAAGCCAGCCATGGCAACCTTGTGAGACCCTTTTTCAAAATAAAGTAAAAAGGTTAGGGATATAGATCAGTGGTAAAGTGCTTGCATAGCACATGTGAGGTTCTAGGATCCATTTCTAAAACTGGGGAAAAAAGAGAAGAAAAGAAAACCAGGGCTAATCTTAGAGTTCATCTTCTTCCCCAACCTCAGTAACAAAGAAATCCCTACATCATAAAGAGTCTCAACTATCTCTGTTATTTCCTGTTCTGCTTATCAACAGCCCTAGTTCAGGCCTGGTAATTTCTTGCTGACTTACCAAAGCTCTCCAGCCTGATCCTTTAATTTATCCTTCACATAGAGGCTTCTTCCTGAAAATTACATTTGATTATTTTGCCACTTCTGTCTGGTTCTTATCTGCCTATTTTGGTCAAATTTGTGACAGTCCTGGACTTCCATAAACAGTAATGTACTTCATACATTTAATAGGAAGACAGTTTATCGGAAAAAAACTTAAGTTCAGGGCCAACCTCAGCAACTGAGTGAGATCTTGTCTCAAACTAAAAAATAAAAAAGGTTGGGGAGGTAGCTCAGTAGAGTAAAGCACCCCAGGGATCAATCTCCATTACCCCCACCCCGCTGCAAAAATGCCAGGTAATGTACTATTGAGAATCAATTATAATTTTAGATTAGGCAATTATTTAAGTTTCTACAAATTTAAAACTGCAAAATAGATAATAAAACCGAAAACCAAAAACAACCTAAATAAATGCAAGAGAAAAACTGTCTTTTTCTTTTTTGCACAAGTCAAAAAGCAGGTTTATAAATGAAAGGAAGAAGAAATTTAAAGTTAAACCCTCATTTCTCACATAGTCTTTAAACATTTTGTTTAGAAAGGTATTAATTTAAAGTTCCATATAACATTATTAATATGTGATAAAACCTGCTAAGAAACTGTAGGAAGCACACAGTTTGAACAATTGTAGCATTATATTTGAGACGGAACAGCCCATTACAGAGTACACATTGTGAAACAGACCTGTTAAGACTTGTATAGAAGTGCTTGGTCTGGTATCTGACACAGAAGAAAACAATCAGTAAATGACATAGCCCACTGTGACACAACTCCCCCGCCCCCAACCTCTGTGGGGAAGGCAGCAAAGAAGATGAGAAGACTCATATTAGAATGCCTTGGAGGAGTGCAAGCATGTACACTTTGATAAAATCCTCTTCTTACCCTTAGAAAGCTCAACAGTCCTTCCTAAGAAAGAATAAGGTACCCTTTACTCCTGTCTCCTGTTTTCCTTGTCACACTTAAAAATCCCTGGCTTAGAGATGACATTCCATAGTGTATGATACAAAGCCTTTTTTTTTTTTAAAGAGAGAGAAAGAGAATTTTTTAATATTTATTTTTTAGTTTTCAGTGGACACAACATCTTTGTTTGTATGTGGTGCTGAGGATCAAACCCAGGCAGCACGCATGCCAGGAGAGCGCGCTACTGCTTGAGCCACATCCCCAGCCCAAGCCTTTCTTATAGTCTTTATCTGTCTCCTCTAGCCTCATATCTGGCCATTCACATAAAAACAACAAAAAAATCAGATCCCAAAACCATTCAGACATATTTTAAATTAGAACTTCATTTAAATATCTAGAGAAGCACATTTTTTAGCATTAATCAAGGAATCCTAACAAGAATGCTCTTACACTGTGGAAAACAAAATAATCTGCTTGGATTTTACTAAAGTAACATGGGAGAGGAGGAGTTAGGAAGAGGCTGGTTCAAGGGGTACACAGTTATAGTAAGTACTGGCATTTTATTGCATAGAGTTAATGATAATGTATTATACATTTTAAATTGCTAGAACAGAGGGTTTTGAATGTTTCACCACAAAGAAATGATAAAGATTTGAGGTGGTATGCTAATTACTGATTTGATTATTATGCAATGTATACATACATCAAAATATCACTTTGTACCTCATAAATTTGTACAACTATTTATCAATTAAAAGATAGAACATTTAATTTATCTTCTGTACACAAAAAGAGGCATACATACAGAGAGAGGCATCTTAAAAAGCCATCGCTTTCTCCATCCTCAAGATAGTTCCTGTGTGCTTGTGCACTTCTCATTTGTAGATCTGCTGAAATAATAGTACAAATTTATTACATCCTATATTCTAAAAGCTAGTCTCATATGTACCTCTAGATATACTTACTGCACAGATATTCAACACTTTTTATACGTGTAATCTTAACACATTTTACATGCTTGCAAGTTCCTTTGGTACATCAAAAACCAAATGGATATTCTACCACATAAAAGGTTTTCTGTCTTATTTTCAAATTCTTATTGACATTGATGCTGTTTAATTACATGTAGGCTTGAATGACAGAATTTGGTTTATTCTAGCCTAATTAAAAGATGGTCTTGTGGATGTTATGTGCTATAATTGTCCACAGTTCCTATCTGCCAATATAATCAGAAGTTAATTAAATCAGCATCTAAAATAAGGTCATTTATTTATTTGTACTAGGGATTAAATCAAGGGGTGCTCTGCCATTGAGCTACATCGTCAACCCTTTTTATACTTTATTTTATAATAAAGAAAGATTCTCACTAAGTTGCTCAGGCTGGCCTTGAATTTGTGATCCCCCTGCCTCAGACTCTTGAATACCTGGAACTATAGGAATGTGCCTGGCTTGGTAGTCTGTAAAATTTAAAAAGGAAGCTGTGTTTTAATTTGATGTCTTATGATCCTATGAGTTGAAATTCACTTTTTTTTAAATTTATTTTTTAGTTTTAGTTGGACACAATACCTTTATTTTATTTATTTATTTTTATGTAGTGCTCAGGATCGAACCCAGGGCCTTGCATGTGCTAGGCAAGCACTCTACCACAACTCCAGTCCCAAAATTAACTTCTAATATGAAAATAAAACTAAAACTATATGGGCTGGGGTTGTAGCTCAGTGGTAGGGTGCTTGCCTAGCATGTGTGAGGCCCTGGGTTTGAGCATTAGCAACACACAAAAATAAATAAAATAAAGGTATTGTGTCCAATTACAACTAAAAAAAATTTATATAAATAGAATAGAATAGAATAAGGAACTCATACTTTGAAGATAGTTAGTTCTAATATTTTGTTAATTCGTTGGGAAATACCAGAATATTTCAGTAGTTCACACTCAAAAAATGAAACAACCTAAATGTTTTAAAAATAGGGGTTCACAAGTGTGGTCCCCAAGATGACAGCATCAGCAAAATATAGAACTTGTAGAAACTCAAATTCTCTAATCCTCTCCCAGACCTAATAAATTAGAAATATGCAAGTGGAAAGTCAACCCTACTATAACCAGATTTGACTACTAATGTTTTTATCCAAGCCATTTAAAATAAAACTTACAGGACATTTTGCTTAGAGATGATTCTCTCAAATTCGTAGGTTCCTGCTCCAACTGTGGTGCATACTGAATTTCTGGCTTAGACTAAAATGATAATGAAAACAGTTAAGTCATTTAAACTTTTTTTCCATAGCAAGTTCTATAACATATTATCTCTATAAACACTTCAGCTAAGAAAATGCAACAGAAGTCTGGTATAAAAAATAAAATATATTAATTATAATATGTTTGATTGCATTTCCTGACATTAGATCTAGTGCTTTGCAAAGAAACAGATTTCTGAAATCATCAACTATTTAGGCAGTTTAATTTTCTGACCAAATAAAGTGAGCCAGAGAGAGAGCAAGAGGCAAATTATGCATTAAACACTAGAACCAGGCTGGGGATGTGGCTCAAGCAGTAGCGCGCTCGCCTGGCATGCGTGCGGCCCGGGTTCGATCCTCAGCACCACATACCAACAATGATGTTGTGTCCGCTGAGAACTAAAAAATAAATATTAAAAATTCTCTCTCTCTCTCTTAAAAAAAATAAATAAATAAAAATAAACACTAGAACCTGAAAAATAATTTCTAACTCTAGTTGATCAGGAATAACTCAGCTGACAAAAACTTTTGGTTAAACACATATTTATTTTTTTCTTTTCTAAGTTTTAACAATTCATAAACTGTAGGCAAATACTCCATATTTTTCATCTTTTATATAACTCTAATTCTTTGAAATGGGGTTCCTCTATCCTATTTACAGTCAAATTGACACAAATTCTACAGAGAACAGCTAATCTCACATCTAATGAGGAACAAGTGAGAGCTCCATTCTCAAGTGCTTTAATGGCATTACATAGCTTAAGAACACAGAATCTGCTCACGAACTAATTATTTCAGTGCTGGGGATTGAATCCAGGGCCTCACACATCCTGGGCGAATGCTCTACCACTGAGCCCCATCCTCAGCCCTATTAATTTTCTATTTTGAGACATAAGTCTCCCTAAATTGCCAAGGATGGTCTCAAATTTGCAATCTTCCTGCCTCAGCCTTTCAAGTTGCTGGGATTATAAGCATGTACCACTATGCCCATAAATATAAAGTCAGAAAATTTCTATGTTTTACTTACCACCTTATTAGGTACAGG